TTGAGGAGAGTGTTTTGTTCAGCCTGTGAGCAGCATTAGAGCAACGGCATTTCTGCAGTGGCACATGGATTATTTGCATTGGTCTGGTTTCAGTATTGACAAAGTATCATTGTGGCACTGGGTGATTGAACAGATAATTGGGTGTTGTGATTTTAAGGTTCCTTGGGCACAGCACAGTGCTGTCTTGGCTCCTTTGGAAGTGCACTTGTGAAGTTGGTGATAAGAACTTGAGTGGAGGATGTTCTGGTGCTCTGCCTTGTGTGTCATGGGGCACTAGAGTACAGAAAAGGTGTAAAGCTGCCAGAGAGTGCCCAAAGGAGGGACACAGGGGTGGGGAAGGGTCTGGAGGGGCTGCATGAGGAGCAGCTGGGGGCACTGGGTTTGTTCAGCTGTAGAAGACTCAGGTCAGACTCACCAGGGGCTGCAGCTCCCATCTCTGCTCTCTGGGACAGGACCCAGGGAGCAGCTGGAGCTGGGCCAGGGAGGTTTAGGGTGGATTTCAGGGAAAGGTTCTTCCCCAGAGGGTGCTGGCACTGCCCAGGCTCCCCAGGGAATGGGCACAGCCCCGAGGCTGCCAGAGCTCCAGGTTTGGGACAGCGCTCCAGGGATGCCCAGGGTGGGATTGTTGGGGGGGTCTGTGCAGGAACAGGGGTTGGACTGGATGATCCTTGGGGATCTCTTCTAGCTTAGGATATTTGTGGTTCTGTGATCATGGGCCTGTCCATGGTAATTTGTTTTTTTTTTTTTTGTTATCAGCACTAACTAAAATCCCAGCTTCCATGTTTACAAGACTGCGAAAGGAATGAGTACTTTAAAAACTGCTAGAACCATTTTTGGGAATGAGTATCTTAGGAAAGAGCTACTTTGGCAAAATGTGGTGGGATTTATTTGATGTTTTTTAGAAAACCCATTTCAAATCCTTGTGGGTTCCTTCCAACTTAGCATATCCTATGATCCTATGAAATTTTGGTACTTACACCACTTTGGTTGACTTTGTTTTGCATGTGTTGAACAGCCTCAGTAAATGACGGAGACTTTTTCCATTTTTGTTTTCCTGTCTTAAAAAGAAAGCTTGGAATTGATAATGAGCTTGTTGCACGTTTTAAGTGATCAGTTCTCCCAGATTTCTAAAATTAGCAGTATGGTTACCAATTTCATGATGACTCAGAGTTCTTCCTTTGAATGGAAGCCCAGCTTCCCAAGCTCCTGTGTAAGAAATCTCATCTTGGTAGTGAATATCATAATTTGAGCTTTGGAAATTGATGCTAAATGAAGTGAGGTGTGAAAAGGGGTGTCTGTGAGCTGTTGTGCTTGGCTGGTGAGAGCAGAGCCTGCTGAAGGTGATGTTCAGTGGATGGTTGCTCCTGAACTGGTCCTTGCAGTGATCAGGGGCTGCCCCTGTCCCTCAAGAGGAGTTTCATTCCCCAGCATAGGCATAAAAACAGGCTGGGAGGGATGCAGGAACAACCATACCCTCCACTTGCTGCAGATCATGGGGTATCTTTTCACAGGATGAGTGGAAGAAGTTGGCTTTATGACAGCTTTTCCATTTAAGTGATGAAACTTCAGTTTCTGCTCAGAGATTTAATTCATCTGTGCAAACAGCAGCACCGCTTCCATTCTGTTCTTCCGTCTTAATGCTCTCTAAAGCAAAGACATTCTCTAATTGTTTGAACCACCACAGGAGTTTCAAAGCAGCACATCAAGGCTGCCAGAGCTCCTGGAGCACTTGGACAATGCTCTCAGGGATGCACAGGGTGGGATTGTTGGGGTGTGTGTGTAGGACCAGGGTTGGGCTGGATGATCCCTGTGGGTCCCTGCCAGCTCGGGATATTTGATGGTTCTGCATCTCTTCACCATGCTGTCAGGAGTATTTATGTCAGCATGTATTGAAAAGACCCCAAATTCTCTTTGTCAGCAGTAAGAATGGGTTTGTGATTGCTGCCCCTGCTTTCCTTGGGAGCAGAGGGAGCCTGGTGCCTGGAAGGACGTCACTGGGGCCGTGTCCTTTGGCACCAGCCCTGTGCAGACACCAGGGTGAGTCAGCAGTGGCTGTGAGCTGCATTCCAGTCTAATGCTTTGAGATAATCACTGAGGTGCTTCAGGACGATTATATTTAGGTGGGGGAGACATTGGCTGGCCTGTTTTAAAAAATTACCGTGTTTTTCTAAAAACAGCCCTTTCCTCCCCATGAGGCTCCCTGTTGGATATTTAATTTTGAGCAACAGTTGAGTTGGGTTTTTGTGCTGTCAGGTTGCAAAGCCTCAGATCACAGAAAATGCTTTTAGTGAATCAGCATCACAGGCTCACAGAATAGTTGGGGTTGGAAGGGACCTCTGGAGATCATCCAGTCCAACTCCCTCTCCAGGCTGGGTCACCTGGAGCAGCTGACACAGGAGCACTTCAGGTGGGCTTGGGATGTCTCTGGAGAGAGAAACTCAACACCCTCCCTGGGCAGTGCTCTCTTACCCTCCAGGGTAGGTGTTCTTCCTCATGTTGAGGTGGCCTCAGTAAATAGATTCATATTTCTCTCTCCCTCCCCATATGAAGTATTTGTCATTGCCTTTCCTTACTGGCATATTGGGTAACACCTTTTGCAATTCCCACATTTGATTTAAATTGTAAAAATAATTGTAATGGTCACAGAGTCATGGAATGGTTTAAGGGACCTTAAAGCTCATGGTTTAGGGGTCCTTAAAGTGCCACCCAGTGCCAGGACCAGCCTAAGCGATCCCAGTGATTCCTGGTTGCCAAGGTGGTGCTCAGTCCGAGGCTGCACTCCTGATCCTAGAGGGCTTTCCCAGCCTGCTGGGTGCTGTGGGCAGTCGTGCAGCAGGTTGGGAGCAGGAATGGCCGGGAGCTGTGCCTTTGAGCAAGGGAGAGGGAGGAGCAGGGGGAGCCAGGAGCTGAGCAGGAATCACGATTCCAGCAGCCTGGGAGCGCCCCGGTTATTTTGGAACTTTTTATCTGCCTGTGCCTGTGTGTTTGGAGGCTTTGGTGTTTGGAGCAGTGTGTGAGCAGGCTGGGAACACTGCTGTTAAGATGTTCTGTTCCCTTGGCTCAGGGGGTGTGTCTGCCTCTCTCCCATCTTGCACCAGCTGGGAATCCTGGAAAGTGTCTCCTGTCTCAGCCCCTCGGAGAGGAGAAGCATCTGAACATCAACCACGGGCTGCAGTGCCTGAACAAATGTAGGAGAGCTCATGCTTGCAAATAGAAGTGGGAGCAAGTCACTCACAATTGGGTGAAGTTTGGGCATCTGTCCCACGGGTGATGCTGCAGCTGAAACTGAGTTTTGTTTTGATGTGTCAAAATGAAATTGTTTTCCCCCTGTTGCCAGCATGAGGGCTTGTCTTCCATGAGAAGTGCTGTGGAAAGCAGACTGATATACTGGATTATTTTGCTGTGGTAATTTATGATTTGTGTAGCCCTGCTGCTCAGAGCAGGATGCACAAGGATGGGCTTTGGAGGATAAATGCTGGAACTGGGAGTAGGTAGGAATCAGGCTGAAACTGGGAAGGAGGAGGGAGTGATGGGGTGTATTAGCCTGGTAATTCACAGTTAATATAATATAGAACCAGTTTCTTCTGCTTATGGCAGGGAATAACAGATAAAACAGTGAAGACATTGCTAATTATGTCACACCTTTTGTTAATTAAAGAGGTGTGAACTGCTTGCTGAGTAAAATAGATCAGAGGGAAATTCAAAGTTTGTGATTTGAGGTTATCCTAAGCTCTATAAGTTAAGCACTTTAATGTTTGGTTGGATTTTTTTCCCCAATATGTGTTTTTTTTTAGTGTTAGGGCAAGTACAGAACAAACTGGAAACCAGACACAACCTGTTTCAGTGTCTGTATTTAAAGCAGCCACAAATATTTATTTGGCTTACTCCAAAGCTTTTTCATATTTTTCTCTTTGTCTGTACAAATGATCTTTTGAATGGCCTAAGCAGACCAATGTCTATTAATACTTGGATTACAGCACAGTAAATGCTAATTTTTTTTCAAGAGTACAAAACATTATTTCCGTGTATTCAGTTCCTAATGTTTTTCTGAAGCCTTGCAGTTAATGGTGTCAATGCAGAACTTGGTCTGTGCTGCTCTGCTCTTGAGGACTTGTGGGAATTTTGCAAGGGTGGAGTAGAGTAGTTTGTGTCCTACTTCAGGCTTTTCTTTGTGCACAAGTAGCTGGAAGTTTAGTATCTTGGAAGCCAGTGCAGTGTCTCCCATTCTGATGTGATTATTCTTTGGAGCTTTGGTATATTTTGACCATGAAAATAAAAAGGAATCTTAAAAGGGTGGGATAATTTAGGTTGAGAGGGCCCTCTGGAAATCACCTCCTCCAGCCCCCCTTTTTAAAGCAGGGCCAACTTCAAACATATCATGCTTTGTTCTTGCTCCTGCTAAAATTAGTTTGAGGAGGAGTATGTTAATGTGGCAGGGTATGGGTTGTTTTGAGCTGCTGCTTTCATTTCTGGTTCACTCTTCAGCTGAGCTTTTTCACTACATTATCATTTCTAATAATGCTTTAAACTTGGGAGGACTTTCTTTTCTGGAACTCTGTTAAAAAAAAAAATCCATATATCATTTCACCACAGGGAAAATAAATACCAGTAATTTTCTAGCAGTTGCGAGTTCTTTACAACATCAACTCTAAATGTAAACTTGAAAATTTCTTATTTGCCCTTTTTCCTTAGCATTGATTTTTTTGGCTAAGAGGTACTTTTCTTAAATTCTTTTATCCTGGGTTGCTTTTGGCAAGTGAATTGCAGGTAGTTCAGAATAAGAAATAAGAATATTTGTTCAGAAGTGGGTAATTGCTGGAGGTATTTTTATAAGCAAGGTATAGAATCCTTTTCAGATCTGCACATTCCCACCTATTGCATGCAGTTTGTTGAGCTGTTGCTCAGATTTGGTTACAGTTAAACATTTGATTAATATCCATTTAATGCTTATGTAGACATTTCACATGCTTTATAAATATTTCCATAACTTGCATATTCAGATATTTATCCAAACATAATTGCTATGGGCTTTCCTGCGGAGAGGCTTGAAGGAGTGTACCGGAACAACATTGATGATGTAGTAAGGTAAGGCTTTATTTTTCTTTTCCTTCACTTATAAAACTGTGAATAATCTTTTCCACGCTCATTTATGTCCTGCTGAAGAAAGGCTGTGTGTTCTGACTTGTAGAAATGCTGAGGTTTTTTTGCATCTTGTAGATGTTGCCTTAATAGCTATCCTGGAAAATGTTGGAAAAAACAAAAAATGGCCAGGCTGCTTTTCTGGGTTGATCTCAAATGCATGTAATCTGCTTTTTTAGTGAAAATTTGATTTCAGTAAGTTGTGATGTAGTGAAAAGAGGTTATTTACTTATAGAAAGACATCAATCCAATGGCTCTCTTCAGTGTCAAGAGTTTCCTCAGGTAACTGATGGTATTTCAGGCTAAGTTTGCCCTTATCCTTTCTTCAGTTGATAAATTAAGTGTTTCATTAGTAAACTTTGATTTCAGATAGTAAATGTAGTAAACATTTGTTTCAAACAGTAAATTTGAAACATGCATTTCAAATAGTAAATGTAAAAAATAAATTATTTTATATAAAGGCTTTTACATTTGCTTATGTTGAATAATTATGGACAAGGAGAAAGATTACATAAATCTTTTACTGTTGGTAAAAAAGCCCCTATAGGTTGTGATTTTTAATTTCAGATGAAGTCATTACTCTGAACTGCTGGCTGCAATTGAGGAAGAGGTGGAGAGTGTTGTAGGAACACTGTTGTAATTCATTTAGTTAAAACCCTACCTGGAGAGTTTGAGAGGTTGCATTAAAAACTAAACACTTGGTAGGAACTGCTAAAAGTTTGTGGTTTTAGGATTCAAAGCTGTGATTTTTGTGAAGCCGTGGTGCTTTAGAGATCATTTGAAGTCATGAGCTCAGTAGCTCTGTGGGTGCCACTGGCTGTGGGATTGAGGCACCCTCAGCACATCCAGTGGTGACACCGAGCTGAGGGTGTCAGTCACACGCTGGAGGGAAGGGATGGATCCAGAGGCTCCTGCACAGGCTGGAGGGCTGAGCCTGCACCAACCTTATGGAGTCCAGCAAAGTGAAGTGCAGGTTCTACACCTGGCTCTGGGCAACCCCCAGATCAATGCAGGGCATGAGCAGCTGGAGCAGCTCTGGAGAAGGACCTGGGGGTGAGAGCTGGGACCCAGATCCCCCCTGTGCCCTGGGCTGAGCCCCAGTCTGGGCAGCAGGGGAGGGGGGGATTCTGCCCTTGTGCTCAGTTGAGACCCCACCTGGAATTCTGGTGCCTCCAACATGAGAGGGATGTGGAACTCTTGGAGCAAGTCCAGAGGAGGCCACTGAGTTCTGATGGGGCTGGAGCCAGGCGGGGGTGAGAGTGGATGGACTTTAAGGTCTTTTCCCACCCAAATTGTTCTGAGATTCATTGACTCTACAGTTGTCGGCAGGCAGAACTAGAGCTGCAGGAATCTCCATGGGGATTGCATCCAGGTTGGGACAGAGGTGAGCTGAGCTCCTCCATTCCCCCTGGGAGGACTCATCAGCCTCACCTGACAGTCAGTGCTCTGGAGGCAGTGGCTCCCTGCACAGCTGCACTCAGCTGGGCTCCAGGGGGTTGGTTTTGCGTGTTCCACTGTCATGATGAAAATCGCCATCCCCAAATAGCACTGAGGGTGTCAGAGCCTGGAGCTGAGCTGGCTGGGGGAAGTGCAGTGCCTGCATTCTCTGCTGCCCTGGTGAGAAGTCATCACTTCTCCAGGGCTGGGCAGATCAGTGAGGGTCAGTGCAGCAGGCAGGAGACACTCCTGGGGTGTGTGTGTGTGTGTGCCTGGATTGTTAACAGAGGGGGAAGTTGTGTTCTCTAGTTCAGAGAAGCTGTGGCTGCCCTGGATCCCTGGCAGTGCCCAAGGCCAGGCTGGACTTTGGGGCTTGGAGCAGCCTGAGACAGTGGAAGAATTCCCTGGCCATGGCAGGGTTGGCACTGGATGGGCTTTAAGATCTCTCCCAAGCCACAAACTCCACCTCTCCAGCCAGTTTTCTTTCCCAGCAGTCAGAGGCACCTTTTTACCAGCTGATGGAATATCCATTCCCTGGATACTCCACCTTTGAAAACTGTGGGTTAAAAGCAAAGTCTGGACTTTGGATAAATCACAGAATGGTTTAGGTTGGAAGGTATTTAAAGCTCATTTTCTTCCAGCCCTGCCATGAGTAGGGGCACCTTCCACTGTCCCAGGCTGCTCCAAGCCCTGTCCAATCTGGCCTTGAACACTGCCAGGGATCCAGGGGCAGCCACAGCTGCTCTGGGCTCCCTGTGCCAGGGCCTGCCCACCCTCACAGACAAGAATTTCTTCCCAATATCTAATCTAATGTGGGAACAATGTAAATAAATATTGATAGGCAGGAGTCTTTGAAGGCCCTCTATCCATTCACAGCCTTGATTTCAGTAGCTTCTGGATGAAGGAAAATACATTTTAGTGGTTGAGTAGGTAGATATGTGTAAATTAGATTTTGGTACTGGAATGCCTATATAATTATTAAGCTGTCCATAAACACTGATCAAAAGGAGAAGTGATCACCTAAAAGCATCATCAGCCAAATTAAGATAAGCAGAGATGTAAATTAAGTGGCTTCAGGGAACTAGATGCTTAAGTCTTATTACATTTGTTGCCATCTCTTTTTAAACAAGAATAAAATGTGATCATGCAGCATTCTGCATGTTGCAGTCTTCATCTGCTCCAGTCATCTTTTTATTGGGGAGTTTTTTTCCAAGTGTTTGTTTTACAGAAATCCAAGGTGCTTGAGCTCCCCAGCAGCTGGTATTGAGCCAGGATCCAGCAGTGGGCTTTTTCTGAATAGCTGGTACCCTGACAAATTCCAGGCTAATGCTGGATGGAAGTACAACCTGCACTGCTGGCTGTCTCCTGTGACTGACACTTGGAGAGGTTTTGGATGGAATTTTGTCCTTAAAAACATCCTTGCCTGGAAGCTTATATTCCACAGTGTGGATATTCCTGGAAGAGCAGAGCCAGCTCTCCTCACTCTCTGGTGTGTGCTAACAAACAGGAGCATCTCCTGAAACAAATCCCCGTGTCCACCATCTTCCTGAGGCTCTCCAAGGCTGCCAACAGGGGCACCAGTGGCAGTCTGGGAATTTTTTTCTGCTGCACTTGGAGTTTCTCACTCATAAGGAGCACTCACATCTGTTCTCATTTTAGTGCGGGCCTTTAACCACAGAGCTGTTCTAGGTTCTTCTGGAATATTATGACTGATAACCAGAGCTTGTTTTTGCTTGAGCTTTCCAGGATTTTAGCAGCTAGTGTTTCTTTTCAATTTGAACAGCATGTTCTGTCATGGCTAATTAAATTCCTTCTGGCTGATGTGCAGATACACACTGTTGATGATGTTAAGTGTAAACATTTGCATGTTATTTCTTCTTGCACATTGCCAGGTGACACATCATATATAATCACAGCAGTTCTGATGAATCATGCTTGCAATTTGGCTCGTCGAGGCTTGTATGGGAAGTTTGTGTTCCAAAGTGAGCATGGAAATGAAATGAGTGTGAAAAAGTGTAGTGGTCTTCCTTCCAAAACTCAGAATATCACTGGGAACAGACTTCAGTAGCAAATAATAAAAAAGCTGGGGTTAAAGTGAATGATTGTGGCTGGAACTGAACACAAGAGTTACTTTACCTGCTTTTCTTCCTTGTGTCAAAATATTTGGCATAGGTGATTAAATAGGAAGTGTTGCCAGATACCTGGTGTGGTCAGTGCTTTCAGCTTAAAATAACCAAGCCTTCCTGAGCTTCTTACAGTGACCTGCAGGTGTTTTAGGAATCAGGAAGTTGGTCCATGTACAGTAAATATTTCAGTTTCAGGTCAGACCTTGTTTCCCTTAGTTGCATTAGTTGTGTTATCAATGCTGTTGGATTATTTGGAGGAGTGAGGTTTGCCTCCTTGATTTTTGGGGCACTGCAGGCTGGGACTGCAGAACTGCACATGCTGGTGCTGCTTTAAGGATGTTGCAAATTAAGGTCAATATTATTCAATGTATATTCATGCATACATTTTTTTCTTCTCTTGAAGGTTTTTGGATTCAAAGCATAAAAACCATTACAAGATATACAATCTGTAAGTATGCTCTTAAAAGATACATTCTCCAAAATAATGACTTCTAAAAATAGCTGAGGAGTGCAAGTGGCTTGTTGCTGTCCTGAAGCAGAGCTGGAGATGTTTTGCACATTTCTTAAAACAATTAAGCCTGATTGAGAGCCCTGGTACTTCATTTAGTGGAGCTGAGTGAGGTTAAATGAAATGCTGGTGTGTATTCATGTTACTTGAACGCTTTTAAATGACTTGGCATCCAGCCCATCTGGAGCTTGGGCCATGTGATTAAAAAGTGAAAAGTAATTCACAGCAGGCTTTCTGTTCATGTATTAATGTCCAATTGCCAAATGAATATTTTCCTGTTTTTTTCTCTTATTTATTTTTTAATCAAACTGTATTGGTACCAAAGTTCTGCTTGCTTCCTCCCTCTTCCTGTGTGTCCCTGTTTATTATTTTGAAGAAGCTGTTGGAGCAGTTGGTGGTGGTTTCTGACTTTTCTGAAAATTTAGTTCTGCAGAAAGCTGTAGTTGTTACAGGAGTTTTCTGGTTTTGGGTTTTGGTTTTTGTTGCTGTTCCTTCATCTAATTTATTCGTTAGCTTAGTCTAATTTAATTTGTATAAATGACTTAGTGATGTCGAAGAGTTGTTTTCCTACCCCCCACTTTTTTCCTAAAAATGCAAGTTGAAGATTGAGTCTCTGAACTGTTACAGCTTTATTATTTTTTTAATTAATGTTTTTAAATAGCTACAATTAATAGAAAATTTACTGTAGTACAGGTGCAGGTAGAGGAGGTAACTCCTGGCTCTCTACCTTTAGAATCTTCTGGAGCTCTGGATCATTTAAAATCAGAACTCCCCTGGTTCATGATTCCCCCCAAAGCCTCCTGGCAGCCGCTGCTTGTTTGAGCAGCAGAGCAAGGGCAGCTAAAGCCAATCTCCTGCTGCTGCCTGGGGCCAGTGCAGCTGTCACCTGCTGGGAAGGGTGGCTTTGGTGTCCCTGCCAGGGTCTGGGTGTGCTGAGCCCCTTGTTCCAGTGTGGCTCCAGAGGTGCCAGGTAACAGCCAGAGGCTGCTGAAGTCAATTTGTCAGGAAGCAGGATTTTTAGGAAGACTGATGTGCATCTTTTCAAGTACCACCTCTCTGAGGAGCTCCTTGCTAAGTTTCCACTTTGCTGTCTGCCAGCTGCCTCATTTTACTGTAAAGTCCCCGAGCCCTGCACAGGAACAGCTTTTTAAAGTTTGTGAGTGAGAAGAGCACTGATGAGACAAATGAATTTGACATTTTTGTGTGTTTTCAGCTGTGGAAAAAACATGTCCAGGTGTGCCAAAGTTTTTGTCTTTGGGTTCCTTATACAAAACTTTATTTTCTTGTTGTTAACTGCAAAACAATCACAAATGAATCTTGCTAGAATTACTTTATTCATCCTCAGATGAAACATTTCAGAGGATAATACTGTCTGGAGATATCTTAATGCTTATGGAGGCAAATTTTATACACATAAAATGCCATCAGGTGAAATGTGGCAAAGTTTGGTCAGGAGATGGGAAGGAATTGCATCCATCAGGTATTCCAGAGAACTCCATTTCTTCAGATTAAGCTGATCCTTTGTAAATAATGATCTATTGTCTGTGTTTCAAAGGAGGAGGTGGGAGTTCAGAGGAGTTACGTGATTATAGTCAGAATTACTTCAAAAATCTGTCATGGGATTTGAGTTCCCTTAAGGTAGCTGTTCCATGAAGTTGATAATAATGTATGTATTGAGCAGTTTTATCTAAAAGGATTTAGAGATTTTTCTGAAATTATGTCAGTTATGTCCCATCCTCACATCTTGGCTTTTAACTTCCCAGCAGTTTAATTTTCCTTCTTGTGTTGCTCCTCTCTTGTTTGCCTTTGCTATTTCTTCAGTATTCTCCTTAAATCTGTTTTACATCTCCTCTAAATCTGTTCTTCCACTTGGATCTCCTAACTTCCCATGCTGACAGATTGTCACCTGCCCTGTTGTAGTCATCTCCATCTTCTCCAGTGGGTTTCCTTGAGCTGTCCTGCAGACAGGTGGTTAAAGGAAGGAGCTGTGATGAAAATGGGGATTTTCTGTGCTTGCTGTGTCCCTGAGGCAGAGGAAGCCCCAAGTCCTGTCAGCAGTGGCACCATGGCTGATCAGGAGGGTGCCTGGCTGGCAGCACTTTGCTTCTGGGTTGCTTTAAACTCGCTTTAATCCTAAGGAGGATCCTAATAACAGCCAACCCATTCCTTAACCTGAAAAATGCCAAAAAATATTCAGGTTTCATCTGGAGATCTGATGCTGTTTTGTTTAAAACCCCCACCCCAAATGCACTTGCAGCACTAAGCCCCACCAGTATCTCCAGAGTGTGTCTTGGTGGGATTTCTGCTGCAAATACCCACAAATTCAGTGCAGCTGAGCCAGGAGCTCTGTACTGGTTGTGTTCAACCATTGCTTGTGTATCCTTGGCATCAACAAAACTATTTTTTAATTCTGCTCAATGATACTCTCTCAAAGTTCCAAATTTGATGGGTTTTCTGCCCATTTGTGAATTTAAAAAATGTTTTGAAGACTTTCGTCTCTTACTGCCCATATGAGCTGGGTGTTTCTTTAGAAGGAAGCAGGAAGCTTTCCTGGATAAGATGCTTTGTGTTAACTGCTTTGCTTCCTAGCAGCTCCCAAAGTTCCTGTGCTGGGGGCTGCTCCATCCCCCTTGGATGGACATCCTGCATCCAGCTCTCTTCTCAAAGGCTCCAATGCAGATAATATTTTTGGGAGTCCCCTCTGCCAGCTTAACGTGGTCACTTCTGACCCAGATGAAGTGTCAGCAATGTGATTGGAGCTGTGAAAGCTGCCAGGCTTTTCCCTAGCAGAGGGTAGAGCTGAGAAGGCTCTGGAATTCAGGGAAAGGGAAGCCCTGAGAGCATGTAGAGCCCCAGCAGACCTGCCTGTGGCTGTGTCAGTGGCAGAGCTCAGGGCAGCACTGGGAGGCTCCAGTTACAGTCACACAGGGAGCAGCCCAGTAGTTTGTGTGTCTGAAAGTGTCAACTAAGCTCCATGTGGCTCCAAAGGCTGCAGTCATAACATACCTGGTAAGCAGAGATGAGTTCATAGCAGTCCTGAAACTGCTGTGGGAATTGGAATCCTGTGAAGAGCACAGGCTGTAATCAGAACTGAAGATCTAGGTGTGATTTGTCTGCTGAAATGACTCCAGCAGTTGTGTTTCAGCCTGGTGTCCTCTTTCATAGAATCCCAGAATGGTTTGGGTTGGAAGGACCTTAAACATCATCTTGTTCCACCCCCCTGCTGTGGGCAGGGATGCCATTCTTTAGATCAGGCTGCCCAGGTCCCCATGCAAGCTGGTCTTGGCAGGATTGTTGTTAATTTTCCTTTCTGAACTGCACTTTCACTCACATCATCTTCCAAGGGAAATTCTGGAGGGTATCCACTTGCCTTCTTTCCCCTTAGCCCAGGATCTGATTGTTCCTTAGTGTGCTGGTTTGGCTGGTTTAGAGCCCAGCTGAGGGGTGGTTTGTGTCTCATCACTGCTGTTTGTCCCTGGGCAAGGCAAATCCTGTGTGGTTTGCTGTGTTTTTGTCTAGCTGGAGAGGGTCTCTTCGAGTTGGGAGAGACTGATGCAGCTCCAGAGCCTTCAGAAATGTGCTACAAATACCCACAAATTGAGTGCAGCTGAGCCAGGAGCTCTGCATTGGCTGTGTTCAACCATTGCTTGTGTATCCTTATTATCAACAAAAATATTTTTTAGTGTCTCATGATATTCTACTCAATGTGCCATTTTCCAGGGGAAATTTCCCACATTTCTGAGGGGGAATGTGGCTGCCTGGCCTTCAGGGGTCACCTAAATTCAGGAATCAATGTCAAGTGGCAGAGCAATGCCACAATCTCTGCTTGATCCAAGTGATCTCTGTGATAATATTAGTGGGGTTTGTGGTGGATATCCTTGTGATCCCCGTTGCTCTGAGCACCCACACTGCTGCTGAGGCACCCTGAGCTGTGTTCTGGGTTCAGCATCCCTGCATGAAGGTGCCAGCTGTCTGCTCTCCTTGTGTTTGGCAGCACAAAGCTGCTCCAGTGCTGGAGCTGCTCGTGCACAGGGTTAGGAGGTGCATACTCAACTCATACTTGCATGAATTGAGTCACACTGACTAAAACATAGCCTTGGACTACAATTACCAGAGGGTAAGTATTTGCCTTTCAGTAAAATAATTCACATTTTACTGAGCAGTGTGCTGCAAAACAGTTTTTTTTTTTCCTGTGTGTAACCTCTAGTTTTAAATCATAAAAGGTGATGGGCATGCATGATTTTCCAGGGTGTGACAGATGCTGGGAGTGCCTCAGAGACTTGTGTTGAACTCTTGTCTATTTTTCTTTTTCAGATGTGCTGAAAGACATTATGACACCGCCAAATTTAACTGCAGAGGTACGTTTTTACTGCCTAATGTGTGTTCTCTTTAAACCTCAGTGAATGAAGGCCTAAAGGAGGAGCTGATGAATAGTCATGTAGGAGATTTGGGCACAAGGAATGATGTCAGATTGCTTTGAGTCATTGGAAAAATTTGCTATATTCTTGGTGCTTTCAAAAAAGTGTGTTCCTGACAGTTAAAGATCAAGATCTAACACAAAGTCTGCAGTTGCAAAAAATTTCTGCAGAATGGGTTACACAGAAGTTTCTGTTCAGTGAAGTACAAATTCCTTGTACAATTTACATGTGAGGCTTGGAGGAGTCTGGTGCTTATGAAGGATGCAAATGGAGAACGTTTAAGCCATTATCACTATGTGTATAAAGCAACTTTTGGGAGATCTTGCCAAGCCTTCAGATGCTAAAATAAAAATTAATTCCCATGTGATCTCTCTTAGAGATGATCAAAGACACTCTGCAGAGCTGCCAAAAGCAGTGGGGAATCTTTCAGGGGTGTCTTTTGACCTTGTGAGTGGCTACTGATGTAGCTGTTGTGTCAGAATTACCTCCCCAGGCAATAAATAAGTGCAGATTTACCTTTTTTCCTTGGGCAGAGGAGCATTTCTTGCTCAGAAGTTGTAGTTCCTGTGCCTCAGATGAGGGTAGATGAGGAGTCCTTGTGCCTATGGAATTGTAGGGGATGAACAAATTTTGGTCTTCTTCTGCATCATAGCAATGGCTCAGCTTCTATTTTCCATTATTATTATTTTAAACCATCCATCTAGTTATGGAAGAGGGTTTAGAACGTGACCAAAATGTAATTGGCTGCTTTAATGTCTGAATATAGAAGAACTGAAATTGTCTTGTTGAAGTCGTCAGCGCTTCTGATTTGCTCTTTGGATGTTGAATGACAGTGCCCTGAAAGCTCACTCCATACTCACCAGCAAGGAAAAAGTATTTTAGGATCTGCTTGAGCAGTGCTTTGTGGGGAACAAGAGAAGAGGACATGTTCTAATATGGCCACAACATATGTTTGCTTGAGTTTCTGCTTTTTGATACGGGGGAGCTCAGCTCCCTTCACTGTCAATCCCAGCCCCAAATGCTGTTTGTGACAGCCCCTTTCACAGCTCCTCTGCACAAGACATGCTGGGTTTTTTAATTTTTATCCCCGAATTAGTTAACCTCAGATAACCAAATTGGTGACTCAGGACTTCCCTAAGCAGAGGAACAAAAGTTGTACTTGAAAATCTCTTGAAGTGAACTGACTGCAAAGGGAACTTCTGATTGTACTGAGCGTGAAACACCAAAATAGTTCATTATTCACCCAGGATGATCTTGCATCACATTAAACCCCAAACACTGAAAGCTCTTCATCTTCTTTGGGAAGCAGCTTTGTGTCCATGGTTTTTCCAGTTTCTGAAATCCTTCCACATGCTGGAATTGTCTTCTGCTTTGCCACAGATTTTTCCTATTTTTTCAAACTCTTCTGTGTGCTATGGGATTCTTCTTGCAATGTGTAGGGGCTGGGGGAGAGAGCAAGCAGAATTATTGTCCATTGGAAGAACTGCACCATTGAGGAACTGCACCTTCTCAAGGTCCTGCTCAAGACTGTGCAGCTTAATATTTCTTTCCTCCCTTAACGCCATCCCAGGCACCCATTTCCTTTTCTCACTCCAGCTTTGAAGAAAGTACAACAAGGTTTGCCTTTGATTCCAAATCTTGGAGAGCATCTTCAGCATCCTGTGACTGCTTGGGAGTTTTCAGGCTGTTCTTTCAGGACTTCTTCACTCCCCTTTTCATGGAAACATTGCTGGCTGTAGTTGTGATAGACTCAAAGCTGTACAGACAAACTGCAGCATTTATGCAACTTCTTTTCTTAGGGATTTCTAAATAAATTCCATCTTTTAAGTTCACATAAAGCTTTAAGGATCATTTGGGGAGCCTTTGGATCTTCCATGTGGAAGAGTTTGTGTGTTGATTTTTGTGAACATGTGTTGCCTCTTTAGCAAAGATTACTCACTTCATCAGCTTCCCCATTTGTTCTGGGAGATGAAGGGGGCAGTCTGTGAGTGAATAAAGTTGGTGATCCTTCCAAAAGGCTGTGGACTTGTCCTGCAGTCCTCCAGCAGTTCCATAACTTCACCCCTCACTTGTGCTCTTGGAGTCCTTGGGGATTCATCAAAAGAAGCCTTGCATGTGTGACTACAGAGTGGTGCTTACAAAACCAATACAGACACTTGCCAAAAAAATGAAATGTATTCATTTTTAGCCCAGAAAAGGAAGTGGTGTTTCTAGATGAGAATTTTGAAGTGTACCAGAGTTGTGTTTGTAAGATCCCAAGGCTGTCCATGGAGAATTGGGGTGCACTTTCATCAAGTTCATCTGCTGAAACCAGAACATTGTGTGTAGTTCTGCTGGTCAGGGTGATACTGTCCCTCATCTGATCTGAGGTGGGAGAAGTTTGGGTGCTGCTCTCTGCCTAGTACTTATTTTTAGCTTTCATGAGTTTCCTTGCATTTCCTTCATCGCTTTAAATTCTTTTCATCCCTAGATGGAAAAATGTGTGTGAATACAGGACAGCGTTGTTCAGTGCTTTGACTCTAAACCCCATAAGCATTGCCAGTGTCTTACCTGAGATTTCTCTCCCAATTACCATTTTTGAAATATGGAAATGGCAGGTTTTTGTTTCACAAGGCCTTTGAGCAGCTTTTGAGGCTTTATTCCCAATGTAGACCCAACCGTGTTCAGTAATTTTTCAGCAAAATTCCTGTTGTCTGCTCAGTGACTGAGGTCTGGCCTTGTTCTCTCTCAGCAGGTAGTTTAATTATTGCTGGGATAATGGCTTTTCACAAGGTTATTCTGTGTGCCAGCACGCTCTTAAATTCTGGAAAATTCATGTTACAGAGCCTGTGCAGCTCAGCTTAATAGAGGTGTGAAATAGTTGCTCCATGGAGCAGGATGTCTGCTTACAGATTAATGGAGAAATGTCTGCAGTGTTTATGATACACTGAATAATACTGGAATTAAAAATACATATCAGTATGTGAGATTTGGGGGGGGGGGGGGTATTGAATAACTAATTTTTACATGCTTGTCACAAAGGTGACCTGAGCTTGCTTTGCCTTTTGAGGTTCTGATGAACTCCTCCTTCTCCCTGCAGTTGCACAGTACCCTTTTGAAGACCATAACCCACCACAGCTGGAGCTCATCAAACCTTTTTGTGAAGATCTTGACCAGTGGCTAAGTGAAGATGACAATCATGTGGCAGCAATCCACTGTAAAGCTGGAAAGGGACGAACTGGTGTAATGATTTGTGCATATTTGTTGCATCGAGGCAAGTTTTTAAGGGCCCAAGAAGCCCTAGATTTCTATGGGGAAGTAAGGACCAGAGACAAGAAGGTGAGCTGTTGCTGTTCTTCTGTCCCTCTACCTGTAACATGCTGCTTTTCTTCCTTGAGATCCATTTGGTGCTCAAACCCTTCGTGTTGTCTGATTTAGCTCCAACAGGGTTGGATCCATGCAGTTGGAAATGGAAAAGCTTTCCTTAGCAGCAGTAGCCTTTAGTCACAACACTAAACCAACCTGGTTTTAACATGTCCTGTTCAAGAAGACCTGGACAGCTGATTTTAAATGGCTTTTTCAGCATGTTCTGCTGCATGGTGCATCAGAGGGGCAGTGAACTTTCTCATTCAGTTTTTTCAGCCCAAATAAAAGGATTGTTCCAGCTGATTTTGCCTGAATGGATGAGTTGTTCATCTCTTCATGTTCCCTTAACTGCTGTGGTGGAGTTCGGAGATGCATAGGGGAATATTCCAACTGGAAGGCCCTTACTGTTGGATGCCCCTTTTCTGTAAAGGGTAGTTAAGGACCTTTCTGGCAGGGTTAGGCCTCATTAATGAGAATTTAACCTCCTTATTTGAACTCTTCTTCAAAGATGATAAGGTGTGACTTTTAAGGTTGTTTTAGCAAGTTTCCCTGCTTGTCTTCTACAATTTCCCTGAGTGTGGTGGCTGAACATCCCAGGGGGGATCATCCCTGCAAGCCAGTTTCAACTTCCTCCAGCACAGAGCTCTCCCTGTTCCTGGAATATTTACACAAAGTATTAATTTCAGTGTGTTGGTCTCTAATAAGAAGACCTTCGTGTTTGAAGGCTCTTGAGAGTGTCACATAAAGAATTTTAGAATTTGTCTGGTAATTCATCGGAAGGAGTAAGAAACTCCTCAGTCTCCTCTGCTGACAAGGTGGAGCTGTTATTTATTCCATGTACTGCTGAGTTGGTTGTGGTGTAATGCTGAAGTGGAGACAAGATCAAGGTTTCCCATCAAAACTTTGTGGCTTTTGGTAAAAGTGCATGAGAGAGGCTAAGAAAGAGCAATGAATAAACAGAGTAGATTGCTCCTGCTGATAAGGGTTATCTCCAGAGCTGGATAAAGCAGCATGAAAACGACAGAACTGAACAAATAGACAGTGAACTGCTGTGCCTCAGTTTCCCTTTTGTGAAAAGAAGGTTGTATTTCTGCACGTTGGGGGTAAGGCCAGTTGGGTGTTTATCAATATCCCAAGTGTGCCTTGGACATCTTGGAGGGGAGAGAGAACTCAGCAAACAGGAGTAAGGAGAGCCTTGTTTACTTGACTGTAAACACTGTCTGTAACCAGCAACTTGTTTTGGTTTCAGTGTCTCTACTGCACGAGTTGACTTTTTTCCCTTCCCAGCTCCACTTGAGCTTGGTTATCTTGATGTGGCCAGTGGGCAGCATGTGATTCACATAATCCTTCAGTAGTGTTTATAAACAGGTATTCCAGTGCAGGTTTCTGGAGCCTTTTCTTCCCTTGTGGCCCATATTTCAGTGTTATATGTCAAGTGCTGCTCTCTGATTTGATATTTCACCACACCTTTGTATAACTGACTTCCTCAATTCAAAGTCAATGAGGCATCAAAAGAGCTCTCTGCACAAAGGGACAAGCAGATGGCTTTTTTCTTTCTTTTTGGGCCAACATAGATATGATAAAGGAAAACTGGCTTGTATAGGGACCAGATTTTCTTGGTTTAAGGCAAGGGCAACTTTGCACCTGTAGCTGCTGAGAACAGCCCAGCTACAACCAGTGCTGCCATGAATGCTCCCAGCAGAGCGCTGCTGCGAGGGCTCAGGCTGTGCTGGCAGGAAGTGTGAGTCTAATTGCAAGAGGAAGTATGACTAATTGGTCAGGAGCACAGCCCTGAGTACTTCTGGAGCCAGCTTTTCCCAAGTGCCTGCTGGGAGAAGCAGCTCCGGGGAGGCCTTTGCACCATCAAGTGAGAGTTGTTGTAGGTGAGGCTCAGAGTTGCTGTTCTTGTGCTGGGCAGCAAGACACGGCAGAGCCCAGGCTGTCTCTGAACAAAACCTCTCATGGGGTGTTTTATTTCCTCTACAAGCTGCCTCTTTTGGGTTCTGAAAGTCATTGTAGTGGGGGAAACTTAGTCAGAAGAAGGGAGTGGTGAAGATTAGGAAGTGTGGGCTGCATGGTTGTGTCTGTCGCTCTCCACCACTGCAGAGTATGAGTGACTTTTTTCCTTTTGAGCCAAAGGAGACTAAGGGTTTTCTGAAATTGGATAAAGAGGTGTACTTATCTGTTGTCTAGAGCCGGGGAAGAAGTAACTCCCCCAAAACGTTCTCTAAAGAAGCTGCTGCTTCCACTGTTTGAGGTGATTAGTTTATCCCATTTTCCCTTATGATAGATACTGACACACTACTGTGGTGACAAAAACTGGCAGCTTACCTTCCTACAGCTGGAGAAGGTCTTCATTTATTCCTGCTTCTGCCTTGGAGGGTTTTGTGGTGAGGATTAGGCTTGGAAAGAAGCTCAGTGGATAGGGATCAGCTATTCAAATGCTGGAGATGATCCACTCAGGGGCATTCTTTGAGCACCATAGAGTTTTATTTTCAAGGATGGCTCCTAAGAGCTCTCTTATGGGGACAGGCTGAGAGAATTGGAGTTCTTCAGCCTGGAGAAGAGAAGCCTTGGAGTGACCTAATTGTGGCCTTCCAGTACCTGAAGGAGCTGTCAAGAAACATGGACAGGGACTCTTTACAAGGGATGGAGGAACAGGACAAGGGGAATGGCTTCATGCTGACAGAGTAGGGTTAGATGGGATATTTGGGAAGGAATTCTTCCCTCTGAGGGTTGGGAGTGCCCAGAGCAGCTTTGGCTGCCCCTGGAGCCCTGGAGGTGCCCAAGGCCAAGTTGGACACTGGGGCTTGGAGCAGCCTGGGACAGTGGAAGGTGTCCCTGCCCATGGCAGGGGGTGGCACTGGATGGGCTTTAAGTCTGTTCCAGCCAGACCATGCTGTGATTCTGTGGTGTTGCTATAACTGAAGAGGAAGTGAAACCCAATTACTTTGGTGAGGAAGCCTCAGAATGACCCTCTGAGCAGGGCAGAGTTCCCATGTCTGATGTCAGAGCTCCTCAGTTGTGGTGAGTGTCTGTTGGACACGCTCAGGTGCCAACCTCTGCCAAACCTGATGCCCTAGGCCTGCTCTGAGGCTGCAACTTCACTCTCACAGCAAGGTGTGTTCCTAAAGGGAGTGTGGGAATATCATTTCCAGAATATTTGTTCTTCATAGCCTGCCTGTGCTACGTTGACAGGAGAACCAGGAGCAGTACTTGGCAATGTTTGGGATGCCCTGGGAAGCTCTGGCATATAGGGACCAGAGGAGCTTATCTCACATCTATTTAAAAATGGTGATAGATAGGAAATACAAGCTTGAACTACTTCCCTGTCCTTATTCTTCTGGAGGAAAAGTGGTGGTTGATTGCACCCCTTGGAATATTGTTTGTTAGGAAAGTGTTCTGCTTGGAATGCAGGCCTTTGGAAACGGAGAACTCAGAGTTCTGCTTTTAGAGTCTCAGGATCTAAGGGCTGTGTCTCCAGGGAGTCAAACTGTGGCTGCAGGACTAAAACTGCCCTGTTGGACAAGAACTGGCTTTGCTGTGGGGTTTGCCATCAGTGTGAAAGTGTTCCCTTGGTTCTGGTCCCAGCCTTGCTTGTCCTGCCCAGCTGTCCTGGGGTTTTTCCATAGGACACATCCACTATGGCCTGAGGAAGCTCTGGGCAGGCAAGGATGTGTTCTCCTCACCTCTGTGCTTTCCTCCTGCCTGGCAAGCACTGCTGGGGCTGGGATTTGCTCAGTCCTGAAGCTCAGATCCCAGGAAAGAGAACTTTAGAGCTCCCTTAAGGAGTGAGTGGGTGTGATAAGCACTGAGGACATCTGAGCCAAAACCAGGGCCTGTGTACAAGGCTGCTTGGGAAGGTCATTGTGCAAGTGCTGCAGGGAAAGGGCTTTTGTGTAGTTTAGAAGCAGCTCAAGTGATAAGGACACATAATAATCAACATTTTTTAAAAAATGGCAGGAAGTGACTATTTTCATGCGTGCATAATAGAGGTTTACTAAATTAAAAGCACTCTGGTTACTCTTAGCTCCTGGCTGTTGCGAGGTGAAACTAAAAGTTTATAGAAATATGAGGTCTAGGTTGTGCCACCAAATACTCAGAGATTTGTGTATGAAAAATCTTTGTTTATCTCCAGTTTATTCCAATTCCACATTCAGTTGTAATCAGAAAGATTCCTTACTGATACTGTTGCAGGTCTGCAGTTACAGGTTGTTCTAGACCATGTAATGCATTTTCTGGGAAATGAAACAATTTTTTATCTCTATCAATTTTACTTGAAAGTATTGGCTCTAAAAGCTTTAAAACTGTTCCCTTATGTGAGGCTTTGAGCTGATTTAAAATCAGTAATAAAAGCATTGTTGGGTTTTATGTTCTCAAAGCAAATGTTTACCTCAGAGTTTGAACACTTTGGGTTGTTGGGCCTGTTTTAATGAAACTTTCCACATTTTTGGGAAAATATTCCAGGATGTTTTGTATAGAGAAGGCAGCATCAGTCTTGAGTACAGTAGTATTAGCAAGCATTAGTCTTTTGACTTAAAGTGCTGTCAAAATGTAATTCCTGTAGTGGTAGATTTTAGAATTCCTTAATGTAGTGATGCTTTAAAGTTCGAGTATGTTCAAGGCACCTCTTGTTAACAAAACATTTTTTGCTTTCCATCCCCAAAAAAGCAGCAGCATGAGGCTATTTTTGACACTACCCTCAGGGTGTTTGTTCTTAAGAAATGAGAAAAATCTGCATTCTTTGCTTCATTGCTGGACATGAGTGTTTGGAGAGCACAGAATCACAGAAGGGTTTGGGTTGGAAGGGACCCTAGAGGGCTGTTCCAGCCCTCCTGCCATGTCAGGGACACCTTCCACTGTCCCAGGATGATCTAAGCCCTTCCAACCTGGCCTTGGGCACTGCCAGGGATCCAGGGGCGGCCACAGCTGCTCTGGGCACCCTGTGCCAGGGCCTGCCCACCCTCCCAGGGCACAATTCCTAATTCCCAATATCTGCTTTGGCAGTGGGAAGCCATTGCCCCTTGTCCTTATCACTCCAGGTTCCTTCTCCATGTTTCCTGTGGCCCCTTCAGGCACTGGAAGGCCACAGTGAGGTCACCCCAAAGCTTCTCCCCTGCAGGCTGAAGGATCCCAATTCCCTCAGCCTTTCCTGGTGGGGAGGTGCTCCATCCCCTGGGTACCTGGCAGAGCAGTGCCCTGCTCCGTGCTGGGGGCTGGTCAGCAGTGCCTGAGCTGTTCCTATGGGCTGGAGGGCATGGCCAGGAGCCCTGGCAGGGATGCTGGTCCAAGGTGTTTGACACTTGTTTTCCCTCTGTTTAGGGAGTGACAATTCCCAGTCAGAGACGCTACGTGTACTACTATAGCTACCTGTTAAAGAATCACCTGGATTACAGACCAGTGGCACTGCTGTTCCACAAGATGATGTTTGAAACAATTCCCATGTTCAGCAGCGGAACTTGCAGTAAGTACCAGCAGCCCTTCACCTCTGCTAGGGAACCTCTCGGCACTTGGGATGGGGTGATGGCACCAAGAGCTGCACATCTTGGAGGAAGTCCCATCTAAACACCTCCCAGTCCAAAATCTGCTGGCTCTGTGAGCTCTGTCCACTGGGATCTCCCAGGTGCAGTCTGTGAAGGACTCATGACTATTTTATTACATGTAAGAGTTTGAATGGTTTGAAGATAAGTGATTCCACATGTAGAGCCACTGAGGCTGGAAAAGACCTCCAGGATCGAGTCCACCCTGTGCCCAGTCCCCACCTTGTCACTCAAACCAGAACATAGAGTGCCACATCCACTCATTCCTTGTACTCCTCCAGGGATGGGGACTCCACCATTTTATGTTTATTTGGGTATTTGCTCCTTACTTTAATGAAAAGCCTCCCTTTTTTTTAACACAGCAACTCTTGGGAAACATGAATTTCTGAAAAACATTTGCCTAATGGCATGTTGGCTTCCAATGCAGCAACATCATTCTTCCCATGATGTTCAAAAGAAAAAAAAAAATAAATGAATCAGTTCAACTGGGTAAATAGCTAATTAACTCTGGAATAAACTTTTCTTTATGTGGAGGTTTCTAAAGCATTAATACACGTAAATGATTAATCTCATCTGCTGATACACTGTTTAGTGAGGAACAGCAGATTTCATGAAGTTTTGAAATACAAAAATAAATTCTGCTCTGTCCTGTGGGCTGTGTTACGGGGCAATGACTGCCTTGTGTTGCGTGCTTGGTTTTTGTTGGTGGAAAAAATCTGATGGTTTTGCTTTGGGGATTACAGCAACGTGTAATTAATTCCAGTGCCTCCTGTGGCTTTGATTAAAAATGCCCAGTTAATATTGTTGTGAGACAGCACCTGAACATGTAACACACACAAGAAACAGTGGAGCAGCTTGTCAGGCTATAGAGGAGGAGGGAGGGAGCAGCCTCTGCCAAAATCCCTCTGCCTTAGGGAAGAGGTGTGGAGGTTGCAGATTTCTGCAATTACCACTTATTTTATATTTTGGATGAGCTGGGCTGTACTTGTGAGGCTGAACTGCCCAAGTGAGTGCTGACCTGTGTGTCCATGGGAGGATGTTGGGCCAGATAACAGATTGCCCAAGCACCTGAGAAGATAAAGTTGCTATCGAGCTTGGCAGTTGTATGCTGCAATATTTTCAGTTTTTGTGGAGTTCTCAGTGATGTTTCAGAGTATGAAATCGATGGTGGTGTGTCTTTAGCTGTGTTGTCAGCTGTGATGGCAGTAATTTTACCAATGTGGTAACTTTCAATCTGCCTTCCTTGGGATCATTCTGCTGCTTGAAAGGCACTGACAGGGCAGGGTCCAGCCTCTAGGGCTGAATGTGGGGATGACAAAGTTTCACAGCCCTGAGGATTCGAGGGAGATAAGGGTGTGTGGAGACCTCACAGCACCTTCCAGGGTCTGAAGGGGCTACAGGGCAGGTGGACAGGGACCCTGCAACAGGAGCCGTGGTGACCCTGCCAGAGGGGAAATTTAGGTGAGCTACACAGAAGGAATTGTTCCCTGGGAGTGGGCAGGCCCTGGCACAGGGTGCCCAGAGAAGCTGGGGCTTCCCTTGAAGTGTCCCAGGCCAGGCTGGACAGGGCTTGGAGCAGCCTGGGACAGTGGAAGGTGTCCCTGCCATGGCAGGGGGTGGCACTGGATGGGCATTAAGGTCCCATCTAACCCAAACCACCCTGGGATTCTCTGAGCCTGCCAGTAATAGTGTCACCACTGGGCCCTTCAGCAGGACAGTGTGGTGTGTTTAGCAGGGACTTCCACAGCTCTACAGGGCTGTCTGACCTGACCATTTCCAAAGCACCTCTTCTAAGCTGGACCAAAACCCCCTTTTAGTTTCAGTGTTACCCCTGCAGATTTAACTGGGAAAGTTATGCCATGGCTGGCACTGGTGATGGTGATTTACAGAACCACCTTTTAGGCTCTTCTGATTGGTTTTCAGTATTAATATTCAACTTTGTCTTGTTTTTTCTTGTTTCTGTAAGAGTAGAGTCAGTTTGTGCTGACATGACCAGCCACTCTACAACTGGAAGAAGAGGTGGGAGAGAATAAAACCTCACTTTGTTTGGTCTGTGCAATAGAGAGGAGGGGGAAAATGCAAGGAACTGTCACATTTTACAGTCATTATATAAAAAAGAAATAATGTTTTAGGAACTCCCTAGTGGCCTGAAAGCATTGGCATGAAGGACAGAAATCTCTATGGTTGTTTCCAGTAGCATCTGGCAAAGTTTGATCCCCTGTGGTGTTAAACCCTTAATAGAAATTTAGCTAACTTTGAAAATATCCTAGCTCATGATTTTGTTTCTGCTACCACTGCTGTGCTCTTTTGGACACTTTGGAGGCTTTTCTCACCGAGTGACACTCTGTTTTGTCCCACAGATCCTCAGTTTGTGGTGTACCAGCTAAAGGTAAAGATATTCACCTCCCCTTCAGGACCCTCGCGACGTGAAGACAAGTACATGTACTTTGAATTCCCTCAACCTTTGCCGGTATGCGGTGATATCAAAGTGGAATTCTTCCACAAACAGAACAAGATGTTGAAAAAGGTTGGTTTCCTTGCTTTCTCTGGGAAATGTTGTCAAGCCGGCCCCTGATGCTGGGAGTTGGGACGTTGGTTATTTTTCAGGGATGTGTAATCACAGCATTTAATTCTTTGATGTCAGGTTTTCCCAAGGAGCCAGTTGACCACAAAATGAAAGTTGGGTGTTTGGGGAGTTGTGAGATTAAGTACAAAGGTTGGGTAAAAATGATCCGGGGTCTGTATTGCAGTCGTTTGGATAGTAGTGAGTAATCTAATTGAGGAAGAAACATTCACCTTCTAAAAATAGACTTGCATACTGAGCAAGTTAACTCCAGCTGTTTTCTTCACTAAATTTTCCTGAGGATTGAGCAGGCACAGAAGATCCTGTCTGTGCTGTTGGCTGATTTGTACCCATCTGTCAAATTTAGCTGAATTTCTGAGATAATTGAGTTCCCACGCACTTTGTAAAAGTATCTCTGCAATCTCTTCCACCACCTCTCTGTTCCCAGCTGCAGTGCCTTGACATGAGAGGTTTAGAGAATTCCCCCAGGGCTGAGGATTTCGTTAGGGTCTCAGTTGTGGAAAAATTAACCTAGGACTTACTTTGAAACCAGAGTCAGCCAGTTCTTAAAGCTGAATCCTTGAGTTTTGTTCGTTCTGGTGCTTGTGGAGCCGCTTTGGATCTCACAGAGTAAAAGGTGAGGATGAGATTATGCTGATTAAAGGCTACCTTGGTCTTTGCTCCTTAAAACTCCTCATCAGTAGTTACTCGTTGTTGAATGGAGGTTAGAAAACTTAAGAGCATTCAGTGAGTGAATTCATGAAAGGAAGAAATGCTCAAGTGGATCAGGAGACAAAGAAGTGATGAGGTAACATCACTTAGAGCTGTGCACACAGGTTGTACCTGGCAGCTGTGTGTGAGTAAACATGCACACTGCTGTGTGGGCTGGCTTGTGTGAACAAGTTCAGTTCATGTGCTGGTGTCTGCAAAAGTTTCTGGACAGTTCCTTAGTGGCCCTGCTTTCCTTCTCTGCCTGTTTGAGGAGATGTTTCAGTTGGTCAGTGCAGTTATGTGCAGTACAGAGGCTGTAAAAGCGTTTAAAAAGTAGAAGCTCTGTTTCAAAGCTGAGATTATTGACATGCAAGCAGCCAGTTCTGACAAAAGACTTCTAAAGGAGCACCCAGAGTAGTGTGGGCTGAACATGAGGGATGCAGGGAGGAGCTGATGCAGAGCCCCAACATCTGAAGCACTTATCTACCCTCTCCTATCTGGCCTGTGAGTTTGTTGTTCCTTTGCCATCTCCAGGAACACGTGGATTGCAGACAGACCTGATGGGAAGTGCTGTGCTGCCCTGCCTATCCCTGAAATCCCAGTGTGCAGGTCAGGATCTTGGCTCTGCAGCCCCAAGAACAAACGCCTGTATTTATTTTACCCCTGGAGAGAGCACTGAGATGCAGAGACAGAGTAATGAGAGCCCCTCATGAGCACCCACAGTTTCTGCAGTATGAGTTGAGTCTTCAGGAGTGTATAGAAGAGCAGAACCACAGCAGGAGGATTACTGTGCTGGAGTTTCAGACTGTCAGATTGTGGTTTCATTTCTTAAAAATCTTTGTAGTTTCTGAGTAGCTGGTTGGGTTTTTTTTTTTTTGTCCTTTTTTTTATTTTCCTTTTTGTCTCTTCTTATCAAATACCCAAACTATCTGGGTTCTGTGGATTACAGATAGTGCAGAGGTGCTCAGTTGCTCAGTGTTTTTGACCTGGTAGAGCCAAAGAAGTGGTGAAGGTGGTTCTTTTCACATCTGCAAACTTTTCTGAGATGGAAACTGCCATCACCCAGTAAAAGAAAATCTTGATAATCTCTGTGAAATATCTGTTGAATCGAGCGTCTTATTGGCTCAGCTTTCAGTATGAATGGAGGACAGAGGAAAATAGGTGTGAGATGTTCCACAGTTGTGCTAAGATCACCTCTCTCAGCTGTGCTGCAAATGCAGGAGCTTCTCCTTCCACATGGTCCTTGCACTGGCTGTTGCATAAAGTGAATAAGGTGAGAAGAGGGCAAAGGGGAGCACTGGTGCCAGGAGAACCTACCTTTGCTCAAACTGAACATATTTCTCTGTCCAGGTGTTCCACATCTGTGCCTGTTCCTTTCCTAGATCAACTGTCTACACATCTTTTACCCAATACCCCAGAACTGAAGGCCCTCCACTGGGGAGACTTGTATTTTAAAGGTCCCTTTATGTAATAATCACCTGATTCAAGAGAAGCAGCATCATGAGGAGCAACAGCACCTTATCTTTCAGAGATTCTACTTTATTAACCAGCTTTATGAAAAGTGGAATTATAAATCTGTTTCTTGCCACTGGTTCTTGTTCTTCCCATGTTTTCTGTTAGCAGATTACAGGTAGCTAAAGAAGTCTTAAAGACATCACATATTGACCAGCCTGAATTTTAACTTTAGTATAATAAAAAACATCATAAGATCAGTTAAATGTGTAATTCTTGATCCATTCTGAGTCTCAGGCTGGAGAATGGCTGTGTCTCATCTCTGGAGATGAAAAAAACTTCTTTGCCCTGGCTCTGGTTTGGTGTTTGATAACACTGACCTCAGCTGAAGTGCCCTAGATTCCCTCACTTGTACTTGCTTCCAAATTTCCCAATCCTTTGAAGAGCAGCATTATCTGCAGAGCTCTCTGTAGGGAGAGTCCTCCTCAATTTTGGATAAAATTATCCGTAAACCAGACCAAACCTGAATGACCAAATTACTTCAAACACCCAACGTTGCAGAGTCAGTGTGAGATTTAAAGCAGCCACGTGTCCTTTCTTTTAATGGCAAAAAATTAATTTAAGCAAATTCAGTGGCTTTTGGGAGCTGACCTCAGCCACAGGATCATTGGTGCCACTGGGGTGTTGGTACAGGGCTGACAGCCTTGGAAAAGTTTCATCTCTTCCATAGTTTCTGCCACCTGGCATCAGTTAGGAAGGCCCCAACTCTTGGTCATTTCTTGTTTAATCAAGTTGTTTACTTTAGTCTCAGACTATTTCTTCAGTGAGCTGTAGCTACTTCCTTTCAAGAAAGAAATGCATGCCCACATGAGAACAAAATGGCTTGAGGCTCAAGTGCTGTGACTGTGGATGAATTTCTGATGGGTAAAGTTAGTAATTAGGGGGATTTTTGATTTGAACATGGCTTTTCTTGTAGCTTGACTGTTCTTCCATCCCAGATTGCTGCTGTAGTCACTCTAGTTTTGCTTCCACGGTTCTCTGCAAAACCTTTTTCTTCCAGTTATTGATGTTGACATGATAATCTGAAAGTATTTCAGAGTATCCTTAGATCACTCTAAGGTTCAATGGGAGTCTGTTTAAAAAGAATACAGAAATTTCCTCATCTTCCTGCCTGCAGAGCCTGGGGGTGAAGGAGACCTTTTTTTGAGAGTCCTCCCAGTACAAATGAGAGGGAAATGTTGATGTGGGTTTAATTTGTGAGAGTCAGTGGTGTTTTATCCCCAGAGTCCAGCGTAGGAGGGCTGACAGCATTGTTTGAGCAGTTGCATTTCATCTCTGAAGTGCAAGAGATAAGTTCTGCTGCAGAGTTCAGTGAGACTTTGGGCAGTTGCTGTTAAGCAAACGCTGAGGAATGAGCTCTGAAAATGTCAGAAGACTCAGTGTTGATCTGCAAATGGTACAGGAAGTTCCAGCAGGCAGCCTAGGGAACAGGCTGAAGCAAGATCCCCATTCTTGGAGAGCATCTCCAGACCCTCAGTGGGTGCTGCAGAGTGACTGTGAGTGCCTGTGGAAATACTGCAAAAGTTGAGCTCCCAGGAGGACATGGGAGCTCCTGATTGCTGCCTTAAATCTTGGATTTGGATCCCAATCTGAAGCTAGAGACCAGCTCTGTAGTGGAGAATGTTTTTTCTGTCAGTCTGAGAAACTGCACAAGGTGGGAACAAGCAGTGTTTGTCAGAATTGTGGGATTAAATCAGCCTCTGTCTCATCTGATACTGCACTGGAGATTTATGGCACAGATTTGGTTATGGGAAGAAGTACATCTGTGGTTGATTTTTTTTTTTTTTAAGACAGATGTCTGTGATGTAACTGGAAGTGAAGCAAAACACATTGAAAAACAATCTCTAATACTTTTTTTTTTCAGCAGTCTATTCATTAACTTGTGTTATGTGAGCACTTAGTCTGGTATTTTGATTTGCTATATAAAGCCTGAGTTCAGTTCATGCCTTGATTTTTAAAATTCCTATCTTTGGCCCATATTACATCATCTTTCTTCCTTGTCTCCCATGAAATATCTTGGGTCCTGACGCTTCAGCTGAATCCTGACTTTTAATAATGGATTTGCTCTTCTGTGAAAACAGTGACACAGTTATCAGCCTTAAAGAGCTGATTCCAAGAAACATGACCAAGTCTTCCCTCAATTTTAGTGGCCATGCCATGTTCCAAGACCCATGAACTCAGTTTATTAGGCTAATTAAGTTGTGTAGTGGGAAGGAAAGGAAAATAACTTGATGCTTCAAAAAGCTGGAGAGAGATAAAAGGAGAATTGACCAGCTCAGCTGAGTTGTATTGTTTAGTTTGAGTCCCTGAAGACCTCTGCAAATTTGTCCCAAGGAACACAGATTAAAAGCTGTCTAGGAAGAGGTTTGTTGTCTGTCAGCCCCTGTCAGTGAAGCTTGAGTCCCCCCAGCCCTTAAAGTGCCAACTAAACCCCTCCTGGTTCTGCACTCATGGAGCTGAAGGTGAGGCACAACCAAACTGTGCCTTCTGCTTCTGCTGGCATTGATTCCCACGCAGGAGCCTCTTTAGCTGTGCCACTGCTTTCCTGCTGCTGGCAGGAGCCTTTCTCCAGCCATCCATCCCCGTGGAGGGGACCAGCTCCAGAGGGGCTTCCAGCAGGAAAGCTGCTGCTTGGCTCTTTTGACCTCAGCAGCTCCTTTGCTTCGAGCAGGAGTAAACATCTCACCTCCATGGAGTTTTTTCTGAGGGACTCACTGTGTGGGTGAGGAGGAGCCTGGGCTGGGGTTCCCTGAGGTTGTCTTCACAGGGGTTTTGTCTGCTCCTCTTCCTCTGGGGCAGAGACATCAGCAGAGTGAACCCAGGATATCCATCCTCAACTCCAGACCCAGGCAGGGCATTTTTAAGGCTGTTCCTGGGGAAAGAGGAGTGTGTGAAATGTATAAGCAGGGCCTGGCAAGAACCTGCTAAGTGCTGCCTCCCATGGATGGGCTCCAACAAGGCTTCTGCAGAGATGGTGTGGCTTGAAGGGGATCAATGGCAGTGGGAAACATCTGTTAGACTCCCCAAACAACTCATTTGCTAGATGAACTTTGTTCCCAAAGTGCTGGAGAGAGGCATGTGGTGAAGTGGGGAACTCACCTACCAGAAGTGTTCCTGGCTGGATTTTTAATTTCTGTCTTGGGGTCTCTCAGGTGCTTACAGAAATGCAGACAAGCTGGAAGTGGTTTTATAGGCTTTACCTAAAATACTGAAAACCAGTCTGCTGACCTTTGGCAGAGAGGGACACTTGTGCATTCCCAGTATCCTGTTGGAACAAATTTGTGAGGAGGATGAGTGTGAGTTAAGAAATAGTCCAGCTCTTCCCTGCCCTCTTTCATTGGATCAGGAAATTGCTGTGGTATTTTGCTGGTGCCAAACTGCCTTCAGCAGGAGGCCTGCTCATGTCACACACACTGGAACCACTTCTGTTCCACCTCTGATTTCCCCCTGCTCCTTACCAGCAGAGATGAATAGGAAGATAGGGCAGGACATGGATTTTTCCAGTAAGAAATTGGAATTAGAGCTCCTTGGTAAACCAAAATATGTGAGTTAGCTCAGAAGGAGTGAGTTTGTGTTCTGGTCCTGTGTAATACCAAGGAATGTTAGGTTCTGCAGTGGCTTACTTCCCCTGCAGCTTTAGCAGCAATGCAGGAATACTGACCCTTGTGGGAAGAACTGGCCATTTGCATCTTGGATCTTGAGCCTGAAAAGGCACATCAAAGTCAAAGAGAAGATTTTGTGTGTAAAGAGCAAGTGGATGTAGCTCAGAGGGAGAGGGGTTTGGTGTGCCATCAGGCCCAAGCTGCCAAGGAGAGCTGACCTGGGAAACATCAGCTCTGGGCTGGCAGAAAGCTGCTTCTCCAGAGCCCTCAGGATCTCTGATACAGGGCTGTCCTGCCTCTTGGTGCAGCTGGGGCTGTGGCAGAGTGGGGAATCAAACTGCTGATGCTCATCTGTCAAATTCTGCTTGAGCTGAGCATCCTTCAGCTGCCACTGCCTCAGCTTCTCTCTAAAACCTTCCTGCAGGGCAGCAGGCACTGGCTCTGCCTCCCTCTCAGTGCTGCTCAGCACAGGTCTGAGTGGGTGAAAGCATCTCAGCAAAGCACCCATGAATCCTTTACTGATTTGTGGTTTTGCTCAAGTGTAAATATTTCTGTATAAAAATAAGAAAAGCTTTCTGTTACAGGGGAGATTCAGTATTACACACCTCAGCTCCTTCACAGGTTGTCTGTTGGGTTTAGGGATTGCTTGGCAAGGTATGAGCAAAAAAAAAAAAAAATCTACTTATGCCTTGGGATTGCAAATTTAAGTTTATTGAATTTATTATCATCTGCTTTTATTGCAGGTATGATAGTTTTGAGCCCAGCTCTCCATGAGTGAATTCTAAAAGTTTAATTGGTTAAAATTGAGCTTGATGAATGCAGATTTTTGTGTGTTGTCCAGATGTGGTGAAAATCTTTGCATGCAATGTAACAAATAACATACTGTTGTCCAACCAAGTTTTGCCTGATACTGCAAATCTGTTTTTGACCAGATGCTGATAGCAGTCTAATTAACGTGCCATTAGTGAATACTAAAGCAAGAATGTTTTCTGTGTTCTTCCTCCCCCAGGACAAAATGTTTCACTTTTGGGTAAATACATTCTTCATAGGACTGGATGAAAATTCAGACAAAGTAGAAAATGGAAGTCTAGTTGCAGATCAGGAACTTGATGGTATTTTCAGTACAGAGCGCTCAGATAATGATAAGGAATATTTAATCCTTACATTAACAAAAAACGATCTAGACAAAGCAAATAAAGACAAAGCCAACAGATATTTCTCTCCAAACTTCAAGGTCAGTATATTTTATGTGTGAACAAAGCTGAAAAGCTGCATGATTTGTCTGTCTTGCCTGTGGAGGGACCATGTGAAACTGCTGTGTAGAAGCTGAGTTCATGTGTTGGTATTACCATCACTTGGCAAAACTTTGAGCTTTGTACTTTGCTCTGGTTTTTGGGGAGCTGATGGATGTTGAGAGGCTGGGGTTGAAGTCTTCAGGTCGTTCCAGGTGTTTGTCAAAGCCATCACGGGTTGGGAGAGCCGGTGGCCAGGTGGCATCTTCCCAGCTCCAGCTGCAGTGCCTGAGCTGTGGGCTGGGCACACTGAGCAGCTGAGCTGATTTGCAGCTGTGCCTGGTCCATGGGAAGCAGAGGGGGCCACAAGGATGATCTGGGGTCTGGAGCATCGCCTGGTCAGTCTGGAGAAGGGAAGGTTGAGGGGGGATCCCATCAATCCACACAGACCTCTCCAGGGGCTGGCAGAGGAGGGTGCCAGGCTCCGTTCTGTCACTGTTCCAGTGGCAGGATGAGGAGCAAAGGCCATAAACTGAAACACAAGTTCCACCTCAACACGAGGCAGAACTTCTTTCCATGAGTGTGGCAGAGCCCTGGAGCAGCTGCCTGGGCAGGGTGTGGAGTCTCCCTCTCTGGATTCATCCCAAGCCCACCTGGAAGTGCTCCTGTGCCTGGACTTGGACTGGATCTTCCAGAGGTCTCTTCACCCCCAGCTGTCCTGTGATTCTGGGAATACCTTACCCTGGCACTTTAGCTTTGGCTGTATGAGCCATTGCCAGCAGTGTTTGAAATGTGCAAAAGGCATTTGTAAGAATTCCAGCATTTTCTGACTTCCTCCTGAAAGATCAGCCAGAGCTCATTTGAAGGTAATGGTCACAGCTGCTCGAGTATTGCTTGGATCAGACTTCCCACACACAAGTCACCCACTAGAGTGTTCTGTTCATTCCTGTGCACTCTTGCTGCAATCTCCTGGTGCTCTGGGAGCTGTGGAGGGCAGGAGGGTGTGCCAGGATGTCCTGCTGCCACAGCTCAGGAGCACCTGAGACTCAGCCAGACACAATTCCTGCAGCTGGGCTGGAAAATGCTGCTGCTTTGCCAGGTCTTTGTTTGGCAGGGGTGGTATGGAGAGGCTGGCAAACCTCTGTCTGGGGAGAGGAGCACAGGTGGGACTCAGGGTAGCCAAGGGCCTGTGCTGTTAAAAGTTGCTTTTTTTCTGGGTTCCCTTTGTAAATGTTGTTTTTTCCTTCCCCAGGTGAAGCTATTTTTCACAAAAACAGTAGAAGAGCCATCAAACCCAGAGGCTAGCAGTTCAACTTCTGTAACACCAGATGTTAGTGACAATGAACCTGATCATTATAGATACTCTGACACCACTGACTCTGATCCAGAGAATGAACCTTTTGATGAAGATCAGCATACGCAGATTACAAAAGTCTGAATATTTTTTTTATCAGAGATAAAAAAGAACCATACAAAAAAAAAAAAACAAACCATGAAGAGAGGCAAACTTGAATAAACTGAAAAAAAAAAAAGGACCTTTCTAAATGGCAAAAGGACATAGTGTCAGATTACCAGTTATAGGAACAATTCTTTCCTGACCAATCTCGTTTTGCCCTACAAATCTACAGGGTTTGACACTTGTCCAGTCGGGGGGGTAAAAGAAAGGTTACGTAGCTCTTATGTATATACCTTTTTGTGTCAAAGGACATTAAAACTTCAATTAGGAACTATAAACATGGCACTTTCCCATTTTATTCCAGTTTTATAAAAGTGGAGACAGACCTAATGTGTATGCGTAGGAATTTTTCCTTTTGTGTTCTGTCACCAAGCGAAGTTTCAAAAACCGAAAAAAAAAAAATATTTACAGGTTCACATCCTGCCCCTTTTTTTGCACTTGTGTGGCAACAGAAAAGTCTGCAGTTGGCTAAGAGATGTTTCTAGAAGGTTTTTCCTACATTCTAATGCATGTTTTTTGGATGGGGGCTGGAAGGTGATGCTCGGAAGGGAGCGTGGCCTGTGTACCATATCCGGCTGTTCCATGCACCTTTCCTCAGCATGCTGCCCTAATTCATCCGGGACAATGGGTGAGGAGTCGCCGCTGTCACTGCTTGTTGTTTGTGCATTTTTCATTTTTTTTAAAGTGTAATGGTGCTAGAAAAGGCAGCTAGAGAGAGTGATTCTGTCTAGGGGTACAGGAATGAACCTTCACGACACCCACGAGACCCGCGCTATGAAGGGAGACAAGGAATTGGGGTCACAAAAAACAAAACAAAAAAAATAACAAGAGGAAACACAGCAACAATGACTTAACCATACAAATGTGGAGGCTATCAACTAAAGTAAGAGCTTGAAACAAATGGTTACAAAATTTGACAATGATTTATTGGGATTTTTTTCTGAATTGTAATGGCTGCTCCATCTCCTGTGTAATCAAGGCCAGTGCTAAAAGTCAGATGCTCTTAGTGCAAAAACATCAGTCAACATCTTACATTTATATTAGTAGTTTTTCAATCATATTCCTGCTGTGAATACTTCATGTGCTGCCTTGCAAGCTTTTTTTTTTCCCCTCTCATGCATATAAAAAGATTTTGTAATGGTGCACAGGAAATGTCATTGGAGATTCTCCAGGTTAGTGTTTGTTTGGAAGATTTCTGATGCATTTATTCAATCAAACCTCTGTCAGCCGTTCCACCCCTTTGACCTTACACATTCTATTACAATGAGTTTTGCAGTTTTGCACACTTTTTAAAAAAAAAAAAGTCATTAACTGTTAGGGAATTTTACTTGAATACTCATTTACCTGCAATGTTTAAAAAACGGACATTACACACCAGAGACAGGAAACCAGTGTTGCAGTAAATCCTCAACGCTGTAGATGGAGATTAAAAAGCAGAACTTGTCCCAAATACATTAGTATAGAGAACAACCCCTCAAACCACCCAACAGATTGTTTTTCTAAACCAAGTGGCAGTGTTGGATTATCTGTTCCTAGGGTAGGGCTCAAAGTTGGCTCCTGGTGGATGATTGTCACGCCCAGCCTGAGGTGGCTCTGGAGTCCAGCTGCTGGCACATCCAGATGTGAAGTCACTGCCCAAACAGACCCCTCTAAGGGGGCTGTGAACAGCTGACCCCAAATTGATGCTTTTTTTAGGGTGCAGAACACACATCCCCCCGTTTAATTAACTTCTTGGTGCTGACATGGAAGTTCATGAGCTGTGTTCTCAGCCAGAATTAGGAATGGGATCTGTCAGAGCCCTGTACAGCAGCATTAATGGTTGGAATTTGAACCACACAAGGCAGGACTTCCACTAATTACAATTGGTAAACCAAGGTGTAAAGGGCTTTTAAAGAGTTTTTTTGTTATCTGGTTTCTGTTGGCCAATTCTGCTCCTCAGATTCATGATTCTGACTTCTAACAAAGCTGGTAACACGTCCTACTTACAGGTTTAATTAGACTTTAATGGATCAAGGTTCAGTGCTCATTGTGATGAGCAGGAGGTGGTTTTCCCTTGGGAACAGGAATTTTAACTCTTACCCTTCCAATCATGTTTCACCCTGTCTGGTTTATAACAGTTGAAAGTTGTGTTGTGCTTAATAAAGCAAACTGCTCCTGCTTGGATAGCATTGGGATCTTGGCAGTGCTGCGTGTCCCACTTTGGATAATCAGGATTGGATGGTGCAGTTCCAGTCGGTGACGCCGGATCGGGAATCAGGACGCAAGGATGGGCTTTTGCACTGTTATTTTTCCTTTGGAATGTGAAGGTTGGAATGAGGGTTTTGATTTTTTAATTTTTTTTTTTTTTTTGTTTTTTAATGTTTCAACGTCTTTGAGAAGCCTTGCTTACATTTTATGGTGTAGTCATTGGAAATGGAAAAATGGCATTATATATATATATATATTATATATATAAATATATATTATACATACTCTCCTATACTTTATTTCAGTTACCACCCCCATAGAAGTTGACAAGAATTGCTATGACTGAAAGGTTTTTGAGTCCTTATTAAAACTTTATTTATGACAGTATTCATAATTAGCTTGAGCTGCATTCTGTAGGTAATCTTTCCTTGAGTTTCCGGACTGTACGCTTCAGCCTGTTGGGATGTGCAAGAGCTTACATGTCTGAAACTACTTGAAGGCATCACTTTGGTAAGAGCTTAACTGTAAGGCCCTGAAGCATCCCCTGGGCTTGGGCAGCCCCAGTGGAAATCTTTGCCACAGCTCCTCCAGGGCAGCTGTACAAATCAAGCCTCCAAATTCCTCCCCAGGGCACACATTGTAAACTGAAGTGGAGTTTACATGCAGCATCAAAATTAGCTTTCCAAATTTAAAAAAAAAAACAAAAAACCAAAAAAAACCCCTAACCAAACAAAAAAAACCACCTTCAAATAATCCAAAAAGAGGATGCTGGTGTGCAAGTTCCATGTTTAGTCCTAGCAAATGTGTGCAATATGTTAACGATGCCTGTGGTTGCCACGAAGTGCCTCGTTTACCTTCTCAATACTGTTGGAAAGTGTCGTGCATGCAGATGGATGGGGTGGGACTGTGCACTAAAAGGGGCTCCAACTGCAGCGTTTTGGCAGAGCTGCCTTTCTCTGCCAGTTCAAATTTCCAGTCTGTTTTCATATAGCATATATATATATAGATACTAAAAGAAAAAAAAAAATCAGTCTGTTAAGCAGCCTTACTCTGATTCAGCCTCTTCAAATACTATTGTGCTGTGCAACAGTGGCTCTGTGTGTAACTGAGAATACACAAAAACCAAGTATGACATGTACAGGATAATGCCTCATACAAATCAGATGTCCGTTTGTTATTGTGTTTAACAACCCTTTATCTCTTAGTGTTAAAACTCCACTTAAAACTGATTAAAGTCTCATTCTTGTCACTGTGTGGGTGTTTTATTGCAGCGCTCTGAGCTTGGCAAGCAGCTGAGACGTTGTGCTTGTAAAGCTGTGGAATTTGGAGCGTGGTGCTTGGAGCCAAGGGTGCTCCTTGTGCGTGCAGGGATTGGAAGGGAGTCCAGATGTGTGCAGGGATATCAAACCCTCACTTTGGTGTCCTGGTGAGGGGCAGGGGCACCTCCTGGAGCACCAAACCACACGGGCAGGTGTCCATCCCCAGCGCCTCAGGAGCTGCAGGAAAGATGGAGACAGACTTAAGGAAAAGGGGGATGGCTCCCAGTGCCAGAGGGCAGGGATGGATGGGATACTGGGGAGAAATCCTTCCCTGGGAGGGTGGGCAGGCCCTGGATCCCTGGCAGTGCCCAAGGCCAGGCTGGACTTTTGACCTTGGAGCAGCCTGGGATGATGGAAGGTGTCCCTGCCCATGGCACTGGATGGGCTTTAAGGTCCTTCCAACCCAAACCATTCTGGGATTCTCTATTTAGTCTCCAAGAGAACTTATTTCAAAATTCCCCTTGTAAGTAAGGTAGTGCATTTGCTGCATAATGAGACCCGAGTCCCACCTGAGAATTCTTTTCCTAAAGTAGCTTTACATTGACAAGGAGATGCGTTTTTCCCTATAGGATTGTAAAGGTTGGAAAGGCCCTTTGAGATCATCAAGTCCACTCTCAGGACAGGTCAAGTAGCTAACCCTGGGGTTCTTGTGGTTGCTTGGCTGTTTCCAAGCCAGATTTTGAAGTGGCACTTCAGTCCTAGATGGTGTTCCCTGGCCCACATTTGGCTGAGCATCTCCAAAAACTCCAGTTCTGATGGGACGGGGAAGGTTTGGGTGCTCTGTGGGGCCAGGAGGGACTGAGCCCACAGGTGAGGGTTTGCACCTCAGCACGTGGGGCTAGCCAAGCTGTCAATGCACGTTCCTTTTGCTCTGGCGAGCTTGGTTTGCATCCAAAAAATGAACTTAGGGTGGGAAGGTGCAGGGGAAGGGCAGGAAGCTCAAAGGAGAGTAGTCTGAACAGGGTTCAACATGATGAGGAATTTCTATAAATACAGAGATCTCTCTCTATGAAAGGATTCTGCTCTGGACACAGGTGGGCAGTGCTATGGACTGAGGATTATATTTGACTTTTACACTCTTTTCCCATTGACTGAAAGTCCCATTGCCCAGCCCCCAGCAGCTAAATGTGGTTTCTAGGCAAAAATGCTCATTTTTTCCACTCTGGTGACCGATGTGGTGACCAGGGAGGTGCTGGGTGCCAGCACAGAGGACAATCCCTGTGCTCCATCCCCACCCCTGTGCTTTCCATGTCCTCAGAGCCCTTTCCAGCTCCAGGGCCTGGCTGAGCTTTCCCAGCCCCAGGGAACAGCAGCTCAGTTCATTCAGGTCCCTTTCCAAGCAGCCACGGAGGGGTGGTTAATAATTAATTGTTTCTTCTTTTAAAGCTGCAGCAGAGCTATAAATTGCACTTTTTTAAGCAGGGAAGATATCGTTTGGAGAATTTGAAAGTGTTTTTTCTGCAGTTGGTTGGTTCTGAAATGAGTGATGGCACCTGCCAGTGATGATCTTTGTGCTGGTCTGAGCTGATTCCCTGAGGTGACCTGGGTGCAGTGGGAGCTGGACTGAAAAAAAAAGCCAACAAACCATCCCTACAGATGGAGCCTGATGCAAAGGGAGGGAGGTCAAATAAGGAGCCAGCTCAGTGTCTTCTCAAAACCAGAACTTGGATTGCTTCTTTGGCTTCTTGTCACCCTCATTCTTTGGTGTCTTCTCAAACCCCATCTTTCCATATCTGTTCCTGGTAATTATGCTCCCTTTTTTTTTTTTTTTC